AACCCTATGTTAAGTCATAGATCAATTCTTTTTAGTTAGACATCATATTAACCATTTGGTATATTTTAGACAACAAATAATATATATATATTGTATCTTAGTATGTAAATACTTTACTCAAAATTAATAATATTTTATATATCTTAAATTTAAAAAATATTTTTTTTATTTTTGTCTTAACTTATCAAATATATTTTATTTTTATCTTAACTTATCAAATACATTTATTTTAACCTATTAAATATATTTTATTTTTATTTTAATATAAAAATATACATTTTATCGTTATTTTCACTTAAAAATAGATTTTATTCTTATCTTAATTTTTAAAAATATATTTAATATTTTATTATTATTTCAATATAAAAATATATTTTTATTCTTATCTTCACTTAACAATATATTTTATTCTTATTTTAAATTAAAAATTATATTTTATTATTATCTTAACTTTTAAAAGTATATATTTATTTTTTAAATATCTTAACATCAAAGTATATTTTTACTTAATAATAAAATATATTTTAAGTGAATTTTAAAATTATTTTTTTAAAATTAAAATAATAATAAAATATACTTTTAAATTAAAATAGAAATAAAATAAGATGAAAACATATATTTTATATTAAAATAAAAATAAAATATATTTAATAAGTTAAAGCAAAAATAAAATATTTTTTTGAAATTTAAGATATATGAAATATTATTAATTTTAAATAAAGAATTTATATACTACGATATAAGATTTATATTATTTGTTGTCTAAAGTGTAGCAAATGATTGTTTTGATTTAATGGTTTGATGCTTGATTTTTCATCTATGGGTCTTTGGTTTGATTACCTTTGCCTCATTATGTGTGGATTTATTTTCCTTCTATTTTGAGAGTCAAATTTATTTTAATTTATTAAAATTAAGATTAAACTTATAGAATATATAAGTAACAGGGATAGATTGTGTAATTATATCACGATGTTTTAACTGTCACCTTGTCTATTCCATTAAACATTAACACTAATTGATTTAGTTGAAGCATTTAAATAGAAAATAAAATCTGACAATAGTTAAGTAGACATTTGAACTTACGAATTGGATCAAAGTTGATTGTCGAAGCCTGCAGATATGATCCAATGGCGGTGGCGTCAACACCCGAATCATCTTGATTGTAACCACCTATAAAGGGATTGGTAGTGATGTGGTGGCATCCAAAGGCAAAAGCCCCGACGAAATTTCACCGATAAATTTAGGGTGTTAAAGGGTGGCATCGTCATCGGTGCATGGTCGATCTCATGCTTCAAGATGAGGTAGTAAAGTCATGTCTTTCTCGGATTCTGTATAACGGTTTAAGAAACCAATGAGGGGTTCGGCGTAATCGTCAAAACCCAACTTTTCCATAACCCAAGGCACGTCCTTGACTGTGATGGTCTAGTGCTGCGCTCATTGTGTAATGGAACTGATGAACTCATAGACAGATTCCTGGATGGTTTCTTTGGAGATTTTAGCATAGGGAGGGATTGACAGCGTACGACGCATGATGTAGGTGACGTTGGCTATCGGCATGAATTAATCTTGTTCGCGGACCTCCAATGGCATCGTGTTGGATTTGTTGATGGTGTTGCTGCTATTCTTGAAGTTTGAATTCCAGGAGTCCCCGTATCGAAAGAAGAAGAAGAAAAAACACGTTTTAGTTATTACTTGTCAAGTCAAACTATCAAAAAATTAAAATTAAACAAATCGACTAAAACCATTTTAAATTCATGACTAAAATTAAACACAGAAAACATAAAATATCTAATTTACTATCATCTATATTATAGACATGTACGCAATATAAACGATGTTGCTGAACATCATCTTCCAACCACACATTATATTTTTAAAAGTAAATGTTAATTTTTTACATTATTTATTTTAATTTTAAAAAATATTTTTTTTTGTTGGGTAAAGTATATGAATGGTTAATTGATTATAGAATATTACTTTATTAAGTCAATCAATTATTAAAAGTTATAAAATAATTCTCCAATTATAGGGAGTTATTTTTTGAGTCCCTTAACTATTAAAAGTTACAAAATAGTCACTTGACTATTCATTATGTTCCAAACTCGTTCTTTTATGTTAAAATATTGACGATAGTATGAGTTGTACGTTACTGAGATACGATAAAATCTGATCTCATAATCTCAAACGATTATCATATCTCAAACAACATGCTAGCGTCCCTTAGATAATCGTTATTTTTTTAATGAAGAAGGACGAGTTTGAAACACAATGAATAGTCAAGTAATCATTTTGTAATATTTAATTGTCAAAAGACTTAATACAAAATTCCCTATAGTCCAAGGATCATTTTGTAATTTTTAATAGTCAAGAGACTCAATAAAATAGTATCATATAACTAGTGTACCATTTGTGTACTTTACCCTTTTTTATTTTTGATAAACTACAGAGTTTGTCACTTTTGTTTCAATTTTATAAAAGTATGATCACTCGATCAAAAAAACATTAATACATAGTCACTTTTGTTTCGTTTTAATTAAGATGTGGTCACTTTTATTTTATTTTAATTAATATATGGTCACTGAGATGTTAATTTCTGTTAGTTTGATGACGTAGTACGTTAGTAAAAGGACTTAATTTTTACTTTAACCTGTGAACTTCAGATAAAATACTAATAAGGATCATTTTATAAATTCAAAGTAATTTAGGGATAAAGTTATAATTTCCCTTTTTATATGTTTTCTTCTCTCAACCCCATCTTCTTCCCTCTTCTTTGGAGACGATGATTTGAAGCCACGAACATCTGGTTGGCATCAGTAGCTTCTCATTGCAATGTAAGTACGTTCTTTTGACATTTTTCTACATTTTCGGTTATATGTTGCTAGTTTAATGCATTTGGTGCATGAATAGGAAATTTATCTGGTTTGAAGCTATGTTGCACTGATACGGATACGGGAACGGGGACAAGAAACGACAATTTCTAAAAGTACAGGGTACGGGGATGAAAAGGGTACGACATATAAAATAAATTTAAAATTATAAATAGATGTAAAAAATTATAAATAAAATCAAATACAAGACTCAAACCACAATATTAAGTTTAGTTGGGTTAGTGCATCATAATCAAGGATGTTTAGCCAAAGGCCATGAGAGACAGCGGTCGGAACACCCTCGCGGAGGCTGAAGGGGTATCCGTGGACAAAGTCCGCACCCTCCCGATACGGGTCGTACAGGGTGTTGAAGAAGAAGGGAGTGGACGGGGATAACAGGTTCTTAATGTGCTGCTCGAGTACATTGATCGCTTTGCCAGATGGGTCCTTAGCAACCTAACAACAATAAAAACAAGACCCAAATCTCAGATCTTGACTTGCAGATTGATGTTCATCATATAAAATGAATATATAACATCCAAGATTTTAAAATTCCATAGCTGTACATCACAATGCAAGCAGTCCCTTAATAATTGTAAGGTATATTTTCATGATTTAGGAACGTGCAAAGCTGCCAAAAGTGCACTCCATGTGAAGGGAACTTTGTAGACACCATAATGAAGGGTACAGAGGAGATTAAAATAACAGAAACCCACTACAAAAACACCACAAGAATTCAAATCAATGTAGAGATCCAAAAAATCGACTAAAATAGAAGGGAACTTACAAAGCAGTCATCATCAGGGAATCAAAAAGCGGAGCGCAACCGCAATAGCGGCCGCCAGGGGCGTGGCTAGGGCGGCGCGAACTGTGCAACCGCACAGGGCTCCCAAAAAATGGGACACCAAAAAAGTATATATATAGTGGCGTTTTTCCAATAAACGCCACTATAGATAGACCTATTGTGACGTTTTTTAAAAAAACGCCACTAGTATTGTGCAGGGCCCCAAAAAATCCCCCAAAAAAAAGTATATATATAGTGGCGTTTTTCCAATAAACACCACTATAGATGGACCTATTGCGACGTTTTTTCAAAAAAACGCCACTATTGTTTCCCCGAAATTGAATATATCTAAAAAATAGGGCCCCTTTATAAGAATTTATACAGGCCTCCCGAAACCTAGCCACGGCCCTGGCGGCCGCTATTTCACGGTAGCGCCGCTGTCCGAAACAGATAATCGGAAAAATTGCGGTGGGTGGCGGAATCACAACAATAACAATCTTTCGCGGCCGCAATTTAGCGTCTAACGACAAATATCGTCGATAACGGGACGCTATTCTCGTTATCCACAAGTTTTCGATTAAAAGAAACCCACTGCCATTGCTTGTTCTCATCATCAAAATAGAGCAAATATTAAAGAGAGAGAAAAGCAAACAAAGCTAGAGAAAATGATTAAGCCTCTTACCAATGGCTGAGAGCTAGTCGATAAGCAAATGGGTCTTCGTTTTTATGCTCATTCTTCTTCTTCACTTGCTGAAGATGGTATGTACTGCCACTTTCCTCTATTTTTTGAAGCTCTAATTTGCATTGTTTATGGATTATGTTTTCTAGGTTTCTTGCTTTTGTTTGAGAATTACATGTTGCTTTTAGGACTTTCTAATTTTTCTTTTGTTTTGGTGCTCTCTGCATGTGTTTGCTGATGAGGATTGTTGGAGTGTTGTCGTGGAGAAGAAGACAAAGGCTTAGTCTAGGTCAAGGAAAAGATTTGGGCTTGGGGTTCAATTTGGGTGAATATTTGGGTATTTAAATTTTTGGGTTGTTAAAGCAATGGACCGTTTATAATTTGGATTTTATGCTGTATTTTGGTGTATGGATCTTGGATTTTAAATTAGATTAAGAATTCAATTAAAAAATGTGGTAAACTTGTTACCGTTTATAAGTTAGAAGCATATGTTGTTACCTTAAAATGTATGATGGAAAAATGAGTCATCAAGTATAATTATTATATTTTATGATAAATTGTGCGAATTTTAAAAAAATTCACAACCTCGACACTCGCAGTAACCGCGATTGCATCCGTTATATCCGCAACTGCGATAAACGCGACGCGACCGAAAACGTGACCTTGAACGCTATTTAAATCCCTGGTCATCATCAATGGTGAAAATATACTTCTTCTTGGGGACCATGTAACCAAAGCAACGGCAAGCAGAGTCCTTGAAGGAAATGCAGGAAGCCTTAGGACCGAGGATCCTATTGATGTCATTCCTGTTGTAAAGCTCGTAGTCAAATCCCTCGGGGACCTTGATGGTCTTGGAAGGATCACCATCTTGAACGATGATGAGATGGTAAGGCTGGACGAAAGGCCTCCACATCTCAAGAAAGTCCAAGTTCCTTATGGTTGGTATAACTATGTCGAGCTCATCTTTCAGCAGAGCCACTGCTGGTGCTGCTGCTTGTGTTGCTGTTGCAGGCTCTGCCATTTTCACTGCAAAGAAGGAAAAACGAATAGAGAAACGGATTTTTTAACCTTCTTGCAGTTTAATTGTTGGAGGATTACTGATCTGATTCGAGAGGGAAAGCTGCTATGCCAATATATATAGATGGCAATGGAGTGACCATTCATTTATAAAATTGAAACAAAAGTGACCAACTCTATATTTTACCCTTTTATTTTTTGAAAGAGGTCAGAAAAAAAAAGAGGAGAGCGAACAAAGTGTTGGGGAAAAGCAGACTACAGAAGTTGATCGCGAGCCTTAGAAGGTACGGATCCTTTTAACACAATTTGCACTTTCTCAGGGAAACTTCTCACTTTTCTTCGTTGAGGTAGGGACGTGGAAGTTGTCTTTTCTCAACAAATTTGTAAGTTTTTTTTCTGTTGAAATGTTGCTGACAAAGGAAACGAGAAGTTGTGGATGTCTTGTTTTATTGTTTTCTCGGAAGGTTTCGAATGATGGTGGCGGCCATAGGAGATCCAATCTTTTTCTCTCATTTTCTCGGAAACCAAATGCCCTTTAAGTTGTATTTTGTTGTAATTTTCTCATGAAATGGAGAAATTGCAAAGATTGCTTGGAGAATGTTCCATTGTCTTGTAACTTGTGGCAAATTTGGTTGCTGTTCATCAATCATTTGTTTATTCCTTTTTTAAAAATCGGTTTACCATTGTTTTAGAGTTTTAAAATCGTCTTCTTTTCTTCTTTCCAGCGATTCCATCTCTGTTTTGCGACATATTTTCCTCGTCGCTGATTTATTTATTGAGTGACATATATACAGCAGCTCTCTGTTTTAAGTAGTGTAATTTTTAGAATGCTAGATCTTCGGAGATTAAGAACCTCTTTATATATATTTATATATTATTTATTGGTACGAACAAAATGATTTTAATAATTAAAGGTCAGCTCTTGGATTTAAATATAATATTTATTGCCACATGATTGAGATAATAATTTGTAATCACCTTAAATTAATAAATAAAATATATTTTCTATAGTTGGAAAATATTTTTTTTTTGAAAAAGGTGGAACCTGTTTTATCATTTCATGATAACGTTTTTTTTGGGAAAAGGTTGGACCTGCTTTCAAAATATTGAATATGCCATCTTCATTTTAGTCAAAATCTGAACACTTTTGTGCCTATATTTATTGTTAGTGCGCCTTTTGGAAATGTTCTGATTCTTTAATATATGTGATACAGTTGGTTCATGCACCAGCTGCTTGTCTAAAAAGCTTGCATTTTTGCAAAAGAAGGGATTTCAGCAGATAGAAGTTTCTTTTTAATTTATAAAATCATGGTTTCCACTGCTGCTACATCGTCATTTTTTCCAGTCACTTCTTCTCCGGACCCTTCTGAATCGAAAAACAAGAAGCATGGAACGGGTTCTACTAGCCTCGAAAGCATCAAGTTGAAACCATTGGCTTCTTCTGGAAGCTTGCAGGTCAAGGCAAATGCTCAAGCCCATCCAAATATAAATATAAATGGTTCCACAGTTGTGACGAGTCCTGTGGAAAGTTTCAAGGATGGTGTGAGTTCTCCTCCCAGAACGTTCATCAACCAGTTGCCTGATTGGAGCATGCTTCTTTCTGCTATAACAACCATTTTCTTGGCTGCCGAGAAGCAGTGGATGATGCTTGATTGGAAGCCAAGGCGGCCTGACATGGTCATTGATCCATTTGGCATAGGGAAGATTGTTCAGGATGGTCTTATTTACAACCAGAACTTCTCGATTATATCATATGAGATAGGTGCTGATAGAACAGCATCCATAGAGACATTAATGAATCATTTGCAGGTAGAGTTATACCTCTTTGGCTAGAATGTTTGAACAAGTAACATTGATAACCAAAATTTTATTCATTTTTTTTGTAATTTTTTATGTAGAGATATTGCATAAGCCTGAACTTTCGTTAATATCTCATATTTGACAGGAAACGGCTATAAATCATTGTAGAAGTGCTGGACTGCTTGGAGAAGGTTTTGGTGCAACCCCTGAGATGTGCAAGAAGAACCTAATATGGGTTGTTACGCGGATGCAAGTTGTGATTGATCGCTATCCTACTTGGTAAGATGTACTTTCTTGCACACGATTTGCTCTTATAGCAACAATTCATAATAATCCACTTTTGCTCTACCCGCATTGCGTATAGTTGTTTATAGCATCGTGATGCTATGTTGATACAAATTTTATATGGAGGATGAAGGGGTGAGTAAATTTGTTAATCAAATGATTAAGATTCATAATCACTTTGCTACTTTGTAGCTTAACTATCAGATTGATAAATTTTCCATCCTCGCTTCTTCCTATCCTTAATACCAAGCAGAGCCTAAGGCATCTGGCATGTGTTGTCGCTAACTAGTTTAGTTCTTGAATTTTGGCAATATATACATGGACTCTTGATGACTGATTTGTTCCATAAGACTATATTCAATAATGTGAATGTTAATGTTCTGCATTTCGTTAATTATCTGCGTTACATCTCACCTGTTCATGTTTTTCCCCTTAAAATGTGAATGTATGTTGTTTAAGCTAAAAGGTCATAGTATAAAGTTGAAGACAATTGAATCTAACCACCAACAATGAATAAGAGAAGGACGATAAACCCTAAACCCTATTTGAATCTAGCCACCAACAATGAATGAGAGATTGAATTTTGTTTTGGCATCGTTCTTTCTTATATATCACAAAAGTTATTAGTTATTGATGTATTATGAGTAGTTTGAAATTTGTATTAGTGAACATTGAACTTATTTATGTCTGTCATGTAGGGGTGATGTTGTTCAAGTAGACACTTGGGCCAGTGCATCTGGGAAGAATGGGATGCGAAGAGATTGGCTTGTCAGCAATAGCGAAACTGGTGAAATTTTAACAGAAGCCACGAGGTGGGGCATTCTTTATAATAGGACCACAAACTTTTACATTTTTTTGTGTCGTAATCTGTTGTTTTGTGCCACAAATTTGCTCTTCTCACAAGAAAAATGTAGGAATAGCAAAAATATGAAATAACTGAACTGTAAAATATTTCAAAATTTGTTTTGCTAGCATTTAATGTGTTTTCAATCGATACATGAGTTGATATTTTGGTTTCCCTGGACACATTGAACTACCATCTCCCCCATATGTATTTTTGGTTTGGTTGCACATTCTTCAATGGTGTTTCTTGAGTGACTAATCTGGGTCCCCTCTGTTTTGGTTTTGGTGAATGTGCAGTGTGTGGGTGATGATGAATAAACTGACTAGAAGGTTATCTAAAATTCCAGAAGAGGTTCGTAGAGAAATAGAACCTTTGTTTATGAATTCTGATCCCGTTCTGGCTGAGGACAGCCAGAAACTAGTAAAACTAGATGACAGATCGGCTGAATATGTGTGCAAAGGTTTAACTGTAAGTCCCTGCTGCTCCCATCTCTCTTCTTCTGTATAATTATGGCGTTCGGCACTTACAGTTATCTTTCTCTGTTCATTTGTTGCTTTCACAATACGCTTTATTTCTCGTTTGCAGCCTAAATGGAGTGACTTGGATGTCAACCAGCATGTGAATAATGTGAAGTACATTGGCTGGATCCTTGAGGTAGACTCCCTCCAGTTACATTTTAAGGATTTTCTTTTGAACCTGCGCTCTCTTATGTCTTCCCATCTGGTGATAACAGTTGAACCAAAATCATAACAATTTAGTACCTCTGATGCTGAGCTGGAACTTGCTTCTGCCTAGAAAGTTCGAAACAGGCTAGACTTAACTATTTTACCTTGACTTCTGGTTTATTCAGGAAAGAGCAGAAATTCGTGCCTTAAAAGAAAAAAGAAAAAAATAACTGCTTTACCATAGCATTTCTGAGAAGTGATTAACGTTGCAGTTACTGATAAAAACAAATTATGTGCTGATGACTTTGCTTGGCTAGTATGAAATTGCATTTTGTGTTCTTCAAATCTGCATGAATTAAGCCATTTATATGTTTGGTGTTTACATTCATTTTAACCGGAAGTTAATACTTGCAGAGTGCACCATTGCCAATCTTGGAGAGTCGCGAGCTTTGCGCCATCACTCTCCAGTATAGGAGGGAGTGTGGGAGGGACAGCGTGCTGCACTCGCTAACTGCTGTCCCTGATTCCGATGTGGAGAACACCAGAAATTCTGGTGAAATTAACTGCCAGCACTTGCTCCGAGAGGACGGGGCTGAGATTGTGAGAGGGAGGACCCGATGGAGGCCTAAGTATGCCAAAAGTCTCGGTAATGTGGATCAAATTTCTGCAGAAAGAGCATAGAAATCCAAGACTCTGAATCATGGCCGGAGAGTGAAGAGGCAGCAGTAATCTATGTATGTTTTGGGATTTATACATATATTATGGGCTCTTTCCACGAAGGTGGTTCAGCTTTTGGGAATCAATAGCCATGCAAGATGGATCCCTATATTATGTTCTTTTAACCAGTTAGAGTCTGGCTAGTTTAGGATAAATTTTTCTTATTTGGCAGGATCTGTATATTATTTTTGTCCTTTTTTTAACTTAAATCTGCTTATATTTTTTCTTATTTTTGAATTGTTTATTTTGCATTTTTTTGGCAAATTATTTTGCTTACCAGTGTCAAGATTTTATTAATATTATGCCTTCCTTAGCCAATATCACATTTCTATGTAACATGACATTTTTGACAATTTTATTTCATTTTTAATGACTTTGTTTGGACTTATTTAAACCAAAATGAAATAATAATAATGATAACTAACTAATCAAATTTTCCAATAATCTGATATATTCTCTAAAGGGAGCTATTTAGACTATTTTTTTAACTCTTAGATCAAAACTTAGAAAGTTATTTTTTTCCTTTTATATCATTTCTCCTCGACAAAACTTTGAAATCAAAGCATCAATGTTTATTTAATTGCATTTTGTTCAGAATTTGCTTCAAAAAATTGTATTGTTTGATTTGTAATAACCTTAGAAGTGGGTTTGACCAGCTTAGCATGATTAATGAAACAAAGTTTAATCCAGTTACTTTCTCTTAGTCTTGTTGTAACCCTAGTGTAGACACCCGTTTTTGTTTGGGTTTTATTTTTATTAACATGTTATTATTA